CACTAATACTAATGTCAACTTCACTATTCCCTACACCAGTCCCTCGGCGTAAGTATCCGGTAGAATTCAAAGCCGGTAGACTTTATAGAGATGGAAACACCAATTGGTTAAAGGCTGACGAGAGAAAAGGGTAACTTCCGTCAAGTTTTATGAACACTTAAAAATAGCTTTTATATGAATTTATCTTTTACAAATTATTTAGACTCATATATATGGATCAGGTTAGTGTAACTTTTATATATAGGAGCTTGATTATTTCTCTGTTCTAAAAAGATCTAATTCTTTAGGGTGAAGATCAATTAATGCATTTCTGTTGGAAAGACAGGAAAACAGGCACTGTTGATGATGTATATAAACGCATATATTTCCATTAGATCCGTTTGAGAATGGATAGAATTAGTTAATATTTTTCTATTGATAAAAGTTGATAGTTTTCCCTGACGAGGCCGAATTTACACGCGTAGAACAATGCACTACAGGGCGTGTATATTTACTTAATTTTAAGTCATCATCTCAAAAGTTTTTCTTTTGGATGCAAGATGCTAAAGATGATAAGGATGAAGAGAACGTCAACAAAGTAAATAGGTTACTTAATGACCCACACGGAGCGTTAGCAGAAAGTAGACAGCAAAATAGTAGTAGTACAAGTCAACTCGGCGGCCAATGGGCAATGGATCAAGATCAGTTGATGCAATTATTTCAGAGTCAAGGACCGTTTGGGTTGGTTAGATTAGAAAATATTGGTTTATACTATATTTTGGATAAAATATATATTCTAATATCTGTTGATTATAGCCTCCCCATTCCATCAACTACACCTGCAAGTGAACCTCAACCAATCGCGGCTACAACATCGGAAGCAGGTTCTGGCGCACGGTCTGAACATACTGTTACTCCGGAGCAATTGGGAAATTTAAGAGATATTTTGTCGGGAATTCAAATGTCAGGTATGCAATGCAAAAAACGGATTGTTCCTATGTTATTATTCATTTTGTATCTTAATTTAATAAACCTTATTTAGAGGGGGGATCTCAGCAATCCGGTATGTGTTAATTTATTTACTTTATTACATTATTACATTCTAAATTTTTATTATATTTAGATGTGAGTCTTTCAGATGTGCTCACCCCTTCTGCAATTGGACCATTATTAAATGACCCCGAGTTGGCATCTGGTATTTATTAAAGTTTGTTTTTAAAGTTGAAATTCTGTTTATAAGATTTTTATTCGCTTAGCTTTGTTCCCTCATCTGCCTCCGAATATAAACCGAACACCTGAGGAATTACGAGAAGTTATTCAAAGCCCGCAATTTGCTCAGGTACATTTGCAATTATAGTTTTTAAATAAAAAGATTTGATAATTTATAGTTCCTTAAATGCAGGCATTACAATCCTTAAGCATTGCCTTGCAGTCTGGACAACTGGGACCCCTTCTTACTCAATTAGGATTAGATCCTTCAGCTGGTAATGGTGAGTCAAAATATTACTCACAAGGGAATATTGGCATTTCCATTGCTAATGGTTCTAATAATAATGATAACAATGATTATTGTTAAAGGTGTTGAAGCATTTCTTCGTGCTATCCAAGAGCAAGCTTCTAGACGTCAAGAACATCACGAAGAGGATAATGCCGATGAACAAAGTGGTGATCGGATGGAGGAAGATTGAACAAGCTGTCATATTAAAATCATTTATATGAAGGTTGAATTCGTTTACTAGTGTCTTTGTATTATGTACATTAAATCAGTTAACGACAGTAAGATATTATATTGGTTGAGAAAAAATTTTATTGTTGTCATTATTTGTTGGTAGATCAGTATTGCAACTCTAATATACAGTCGAACTATTTATAATTACACAGTTGGAACTCATTAATTTGTCTAAAAAGTGTAATAGTGATTATAATATTTTATATGAATAATAATAAATAAGTTTAAAAAAATAAGGATTTTTATATGTATGCATTAAAATTTTTAGTTTCTATAATAAATTGAAACTTGTTTAAAACATTAAAAATCTATTTTCTATAGTGTTATATATTATAATGAAATCTTTTATTAAAATAATCAAAAAGTTTCATTTATATTTACTTTTTATTAATTTCTTAATTTTTTGTTAATATAGTATTCTTTTCTTTTTGTTGTTTAATAAATAAATCTATACTATACTGATCTTGTTTTGTTTAATAAAAAAATTTATTAAAATTATATTATTTTTAATATATTCAATAAATGTTTCTTTTTTTAAAGTCTTTTTTAATTAAAAGGCTTACTTCTACTTAATATCTTATTTCTTTTTTTTTTTTTTTAACCCGCAATCATGCCACAATGGCATGTCTTTATTGAGATATTAAGAAATACCTAAATATTTTATAGACTTTCACAAAGCGACTAACTTGTCATTGTATATTATTAGTTAAAGGACTACACTACTTAAAAAATATGAGGAGTCCACTAAGCTAGTTTGAACTAAAC